CCGAATCGATTGGTATTCTAGTGTCGCCGAATGGACAGTTACTGCTACCCTGATAAGCGATTCCCAGCCGCGATCGTGTTCCCAATATGGCGGGGTCGAGTTACAGTACGCATCGGAAGTACACACGGCGCGTTCACGCGTGTAAATTGCGCGAATAGAACAGAAATTCTTAGTCGCTCGCTGTTCGCTATGGAGAAAGAGGAGGAGAGAAAATTTAGGTTTTAGATTCAACGACGTGCGCGTTTCACCTCGAGAATTCGGTGACTCTCCTAAAGCGGGGGCTCTTTAATATTCTTTGAAGAAAAAGAAAACTGGACTCGGACGAACGCGTTCCCACCGAAGCTTGTTTACGCGGTGGCAATATTAAATCGTTTGATTTTCAAATAGCAAGTACGGACTCCGTTAATCGTATTAGATCCATAAACGGATGGAAGTAGATTTGCGAACTTTCCGAAGTACGTGAAACGGTACGAAGAAGATGATATGTTACAAACGATTTGTTAAACATACATAAACGCGTCGCTAATTCGATATACATACTTTCCCTTGCTAAGTAGCCGACGGCGATACGCTGACTGATTACAAATGATAGAACTACGTCGAACGTTTCCCGTAACTATGAGACGAGACGCGCTTATTACGATGAAAGTATAAGCGTGCACGTTCTCTTAAACGAACTATCTATTCTGTTAACGCGACACGGCCGTGAGTTTCACCGGGTAGGAGGACTTCGAAACAATAGACCAAGCTTCGTTTGAATTATAATTACCAGTTGTAGGAAGCGCATGACGTGTCCGGATTGACGGGCCCTTTTTCTACGTGTCGTAAAAGTCACACTACACCGACTTCACGTGTACGGTTGATCGAGGGTGGCTAACTCGCGATAGGCAGCATGATATCCAGAGGACCGGGGATGTACTGAACGATATTGAATGGAGCTTCGAATGGGAACTGAGGACACATTGGGCCCAGAGGCCCGTTTCTCCCTACCTGATCCCACCACCACTGGACTCTTCAAGAAGCTCCTCTCTAATATCGGACACGGTGGGGCACCTTTCTCTGGCTGGTGGCTACGTACACTTCGCGGCTAGTGTGAAGCGACGTTAAAGCAGTAGCGTGCAGGACATACAGAGACGCCATGTCGTTCGAGACGAAAAAAGAAAAAATGTTCGTGCACGAAGAGAGACACGCGAGGGGGAAAAGGGAAACGGGGGCAGAGTCGTTGCGGACTTTCTTTAAATCCGACTCCCGATCGAAAGGAAAGGAAGATGATTATATTATCCGAGCCTCGCTTCTCCTCCTTGGTGACCTCCAAGGCCTATCGAAACCGAAACCTACCTACCTTCCCTCTAGGAGAAGGCCGTGTCCGCGTCTGGCATGGTGCACACCGAATTATTCGGTGAAAGACTATCGCTTCAAACATAGCAACGACGGGGAGTTCGCTCGCTCGCGCATGCACTTATCATTACTTTCGCTGAAGCCTCACAGCGGTTCCGAGCGAATGATTTCTTGCGAACGAATCGTTTCCTCCTGCGTCTGTATAATGACCTTTCTTCCACGCCGATAACGAAATCCTTCCAATCGCTTTGGTAGTCCATCGGTCAACACCTGTAACTTTGATTGGTATTATTTTGATACAGTGTTCGAGCGATTCTACTTTCTACGGAATGATAATTAACCACTTCCCTGTTGAGCTTTTTTTTTCTCTAGTCCGCGCAAAAAACCTCAACGTTCACTTATTTCACTTTTTAAATGTTCGATTTCATCGAGTTCACGTGACTGCAACGTGACTCTTGGAATAATAAATGTCACGTGACAGTAATTGATATCTGGGACATTATAAATAGAGTGCCACTGATAGTTGCAATTAAAAGAATATTAAACAATTTTATTTCTTGCGAAACCATTCTTCTTCAATACACAAAACTTCCATCGTCACGGAAATAATTCTTAGAATTAAAATTAGGGTGAAAGAAGTAATTACCCAGCTCAAAGATAAATTGCAAAGATGGCCTCACGTTTCGCCTCGTCTCTCTTCGAAGACAATTTAAAAAACATATTTTAAAATGTTTGTTCCACATATTACATTCCTCCTTTCATTCCAAAGCGCAACAGGTTTACGTCCTCGAAGAGTGCGATGACTTTTTCACCGTTCTTCGGCGTCGTCTTTTGGTATTCAATTAATGGTATTCAATATATGTTCAACAGTTCCCTTTTATTTTACTTTCCATAATTTTAGCTCTCAAGCATAACTTTACTCGTTTATCCACGGACTACATTGCTACAGTTTTCTCGGGCGCGATAGCTAAGTGATTACTCCTATCTCCTTGGATCTACGATTCTATCAGCGCCGAACATTAATAATTCATCACATTTAATAACCAATGAGCGTCTACTTAATCGCACTTTTTATCGTTCTCTGTAACTCTAGTCTCTCGACGAATGTTCGCGTCAGGTTTTTTTCTTCATCGTGACGAAACTGGCCAGATATTCTCCAGCAAGCTCGACCGACCTAAAGAGATCGCGTGCACTCGTTTTCCGTAAATTGCGTTCGGTCGCTGTGAAAGGCAGAATTCTAGAATACCAGTTAAATGAGGATGACCTGGTAAAACCCTTGATTGCAAAAGCTCTCGCGATCTGAAGTTCTCATGCTTGCGTAACGCGTATTCTGAATCGATCTATCACGCAGACGGATAGGTTTGATCCAAGAAATCCATATAGTCATCATTTCCAAGGATTCATTTGTGAACTTTACTTATTTGATGAAATCGCGACAAAGGTTTTCACCTCCCATTCGAAAGTTCGATACGCGGTTTGGAAATTAGAAGCGTGAAGTGCATTGACATTTATGAAATTCGATGGACCATAGTGACCAATGAAGATGAGTATTTGGCGTTTACTTGCGCACTGTCGGGGTTTAACGTCGCTCGTCCTACTTGGAAACTTTCACTTACGTTGGCGTAAGAGGACCAAATAACCGCCGAGGGATTCGAACACCACGGGCAAGGAATCTGTCCGGGTGGTCAGTGGGTCCGAATTATACGACGTCTGCGATGATAAAAACGAGAAGATTGGTTTCCCAGAAAAAAGACAATTCACCACTTCCGGGTTAAAAACTTTGCGATCGAATCTTCCATCGTTCCTGCAGGCTTTGTAATTTTTCGTTTAATAAAATTCCCCAACTGTTCGTAAACGCGGTGATTCAGAGTTAATGACTCCCTTAGCGAGCACCAAGGATGGGCGCGTGAAGAAGGTGTAAAAAGACAGTTTTATTACAGCGTTTAGCAATAATTGCAACAGCAGTTTGTGAAACAACACTTAAGAGCGTATTGCACGAATTTCAGTCGCCCAGTTCTCATGAAAGTCAGAGACGTGGAGCGGCAGATGATACGGTTCTCCTTCTACGGGCGTACAGTTTGTAGGTATATAGTTCTCCGAGAGCAGTGCGCTCATGAGCAATAACGTAACTGTTGAAGAGTGAAAGTGCCGTAAAGTGGGACGCGGCAAGAATAGCGCGCGATCTTTTTAATTAATAAATAAGCGCAGACGATTTTAATTCAACTAAATTTTTTCCGTCCAAACGGCAGGTTTCCATTTCGCACAACCTTGCCGCGATTAGAATTTCAGACGGTTTGCGATAAAATGTCTTTGGATGAAATCGATTGTTTCCTTTGTTCTTCAGCCTTTGTGAGATTTTATGACGGAAATTAAAATGTTACATGTCCAAAAAGCGACGTTCTGCATCTAGCTGTCGACAAGTTTAGTCTCAGCATTGACTTTCCTTTAAGGCAGACTTTATTATATTGACACGTACATAACCGCGTTACATAATTAGATAGCATACGCGTTGTTAAACAAAAAGTATCTTTAACCGGCTTTATGCTCGCTGCACTTTCTATTTCTGTCGTAGAGAGTAGATTTTGAAATCAACCATAGTCTTGAGGAACGATTGTATGAAAACGTTTGAGAAGTAATTTACACGTTTCATATACACTTGATTCGTATGAAATGCTTGGTGTAAGTGATAACTTATCAAATTGCGTGCAAACCAAACCAATGTGGATATTGAGTACCTCCGCAGCACTTTGTTTGTTTCTATTCGTCTCATAACAAAGCCATGTAAGTCTGCGTGCTTTACCAAGTTCAATAAAATATAACCCATAAAAGCATGCCGTATAAGAAAGGGAAAAAACATTGCGTTGATAAACAAATATTAATAATGAACAGGAAAAAGCTTTCTCCTATAGTCTTGACCAACTTTCGTAAGATCGAATAACACGTTAAATAAACACGTAACACACATCGACATCGCCGTATCCACTTCCATGTCTTTCAGAAAATGTCAAGTATACAGGGTGTCCCAAAAGTCGGGGAGGAGCCGGAAATGGGGAGTAGCTGAGACGATTCTGAAAAACAATTTCCTTTGCAAAAATATCGGATGGGGCTTCGTTAAGGAGATATTAAGCGAAAACCCCGACCAATCAGAGCGTGCGTAGATCGTTCGAGCGGCCGCGGTGGCGAACGCTACACGCTGGCGGCCGCGCTTGTACGCGAACAAGTGACTCGACGTGCATCGAAGGACATTGACGCTGCCGCCTGGCGCGTAGCCTTCGCTACCGCGGCCGCTCGAACGGTCTACGCGCGCTCTGATTGGTCGAGGTTTCCTCTTAATATCTCCTTAACGAAGCCCCATCCGACATTTTTGCAGAGGAAATTGTTGTTCAGAATCGTCAGCTACCCCCCATTTCCGGCTCCTCCCCGACTTTTGGGATACCCTGTATAATACGTTGTGTATTTATAGTAGGTACTTCTACATACATACATTTAATAGTACACACCATGTATAACGAGTACGGCGTAAGCTAAATCTAAATGCACTAGAGAAAGCATTTCGTGCATACAATAATTATATGCAAATCTAGCGTACGGGTAATAAACGCCATATACAACTTTATAACACAATTGAAACCACGTGGACGGATCAATCAAATTCTCGCGGCCATTTCGTAGCAATGATGGCCGCACCTGAAGACACTCGGTGCAGATGTAAAGTCTGTATAAAGATTCGTGTGACGATTGACCAAATATTAAGCATTTTAGATATATACGGTTGGCTGTTAGATTCTTACGTTGTGGTACGTAACACAAAATATATTTTGCAACTACGTTTTTGGTTTATTCGTTCCATCTGCAGATGGTGTGTAACTTAAATGTACCATTTGTGCTGTTATCTTTCTTTTGGTAGTGATATGGATAAATTAGAGAGCTTGTTCTGTTTGTCGTAGGACTTTTTCGAAGAAAAATTATGGGAGAAATTACCGGAAAGTTGGAAGTGCACATTGCAAGATACACCTCCACGAGAGTTTGGTAACTGGTTGGCAGGAGACATCTTGTGGTGAGTACGAGTACTATACTATTTAAATGTAGGTTTCGCGTACTGATGAATAATTTTTTTAATTATATGTTGCAGCACACGCGTGTGGCCTTTGTCGTTACTCGCACTTCGTCAAGTGACCAACGTTTTACAAATTAATAGAAACCATGGGGACCCAGCAAGCATTGTATCTTGCGATTCTAGCAAAAGTGCAGATATTGAGAAGGATGATACAAAGTTTGAAAGAGATAGAAAAGATACATTTGACGACTTGTATTCCCACGATGATAAATTCAATAATTTATTTTCTAAGCATATAAAAAAAAAAAAGCGATATGAGATACAAGAAATAGCTCAAGTAATGTATTTTTTGCTAATGCACATACTTATACTTTGTTACATCGTAATTATTTATAGGTATGCGCTGACTGTGCTTATGAAGCAAATTCTAAATGTATTGTTGATATTGGAGCTGGAATGGGTCATTTAGCTCGTATCCTAGCATTTAGATACGGATTATGTGTTACCTGTATCGAACAAGATTGTACACTGTTGCAACAAGCTAGGTAAAGTTGCTATGATATAGAATTAATATTAGAATTAATATATAGCTTTGTGTTTATTGCAGCAAGTGGGATCAGGAATTATTGATGTCTGTAAAAAAGTATATTCCTGACTTTTGCGAGAAGATTCCACAACATTTGTCAGCAAAATTGGAATCATCAAACTTGGATGAATCAGAGCTAATTAGTCATTTACAAGATTTGTTTCAGAACAGTTTTAATTTAAACAAGACAGAAACTAAATTTGGTCTTGTAGGACTTCATCCTTGCGGAGACTTAGCTCCATTACTGTTACAGCTTTATGCATCTAGGAGTGAAGCCAAATTTATTTGTATTGTTGGATGTTGTTATATGAAATTAACCTTGAAGTTTGTACAACTTTTATAAACCCCAACTATACTAACTTTATTGCTTTATATAACAGGAATGATTTCTAGATCAGAGATAAGCGGATTAAAGGGTTATCCACTTAGCAAGTACCTGTTATTATGTAAAAATCATATGTTAAGTTATACATCCTTAGAAGTGGCATGCCATGCCATTGAAAAATACTGTGACAAACTAAAGACTGGAAATTATGAAGATTTAATAGTTGAGTAATAGAAAATTGAATCGATGAATGCACTGTATGTAAATATGTTGTTAACTGATTTATTTTTAGGTGCATACTTATAGAGCAGCTCTAGAAACTATCTTAGTAAAGAAAAATAAAAAGCATAGTCAATTAAGAAATGTCAAAGTAGCAAAAGGAATGACATTTCAACAGTTGAGTGATTTACGTTGTACTATTATATATAAATGTTTGATTAATCAATATATGAATTACACCTCATTTTTTAGGTATTGCGTTACCGCAACATCGAATTTTGACACACATATTCAACCAGAAGATTCCGATATTCACAATTGTGAAATTAAAAGCTATTTGAATCGGTGGCAACAGGTTATAATATTCGGATCTTTGCGAATGATGTTGGCGCCATTAGTCGAAACAATCGTCTTGCTCGATAGATTTTTGTTTCTATCCGAGCAAAATTTATCACCAACTCTAAAACCGGTATTTGATAGCAGACTATCGCCTCGAAATTTAATGCTAATATCTAAGAAAAGTAATTAACCGGTTTACAATTCCAAACTACATTCCGATAAATTACAATCGTCTATGAACGTTAACCGAATAGTCACCACAAAGGACATTTCGACTATGGTAATTCCCGCGTCCACGAATTAAAGTTAATCCAAATTATAATGTGCCTCTATTTGGACAATACTACTTAATTACAATTATCATCAATTACAGTATCAACAATTCAACTGAATATCATTCAATATCAACTGCATTTTACTTCCCTTTCCCTTTCAAACGCACTTCAAAAAGTTCCAAAACCACAATTTTAAAAGAACGAATCGGTAGGTGAAGTCACGTGATTCGCGTTAGGACCGAAACAGCGATGCGCTGTGCCCTGTAGCGCGGATTCAATAGAAATTATACAAGTTACTATTCACGTGAATCTTTTTATTTGATAAAAAACGTGTAATAGTAATAAGTAATATGCCATTACATGCGTATAAACGCAATTGCATATTGAAAAAAAGGAATTTCTTATGCATCGAATTTAGACAGTCGCGACATCTATAAAATTTGAAATGACGTACTAATGGCGGTAAATACAAACGATATTTGTTCAAACAAATAAATTCCTGTTTATTAACGCATTTTGTAGACACAGTAGCAGATTTATTATAAACATGTTCCGATAGCTTATCCGATGATTATAATATCGACAAGAATTAAAAAGGATTAAGATTGCTAAATAAATATTTCACGATCTAGATATAGAACGTCGCTGAATTTGTATTTGAAGAGCCACGCATACGCGGAAGAGACGGGAAACGTAACAATACTGCGTACACTTCTGGACAGACGGCTGACCAATGAAATTCTGTCTCGGGTCACGTGGTACGATTAACAGAAGTTCGTCTCGCTGTAAGAAGCATAGTTCGCGTTCAGACGTATCGCACGAGAGAATGGGCAACAGGCCAATCGGAGCACAAATCGAATAGTTGCAGGCGCGTGCGCGCGATTCCGCCCTAAGGATTCGTCCCGTATTGGAGCCGCGGCGTCGACAGATAGCGCTGTAGTGGCCGGCTACTTCGCTAGAGGCAGAGACGTTCCTCTCCAGCAACACCGAGATCCAGTTTCCCTTAAGCCGCTCTCGCGCGTTTGTCTGTTGTCGTCGCGTTCGCGTCGTGTCCTACCGATTATTTTCTCCTTCCTCCCCCCCTCCCCCGCCACCCGCGCACGAGATCGTCGACACGGTAGAGCAGCCGCGCGGTATACCGAGTGTCCACGCATTAAAAAAAGTAATTTTTGCCCGGTGCCCGAGCCCCAGGATGGCGTTCAACGGAGACGGACCACACTCGAAAAGGCAGCGACTCGAGGAATCCGGCCACAGGGTGAGTAGTTCTGCACGTTGATTCCCGGTGTAGGACGTGTTTTTCGGTATCCGGCTGAAACGCTGGGCGTTCGGCCAGTTTCTGCTCCGTTCGGTGTGTTGTTTTTCTTTTTTCTTCTACTCGCTGGTTATGCGAACGGTACGTTGAACGCGTGCGTTTCGGCGTGTGTCGCGCGAGACAGATTTACAACCCGTGTGTGTGTGACGGAGGGGGGAAAGTCGCCATTTATCCGGTCGCTTTTACCCGTATCACCGCCACCGCGTCGAAACAATGGGCGATGCGCGCGCTCTCGAAGGAGATTGTCTCGTGTCGGCGGTGTCGTGTCGTGTCGCGTATAACAAGAAACGCTAGGCTTACGATACGTGGCTCGTGTTTCGGCAGACGGCAACCTGTTATACCCCGTAACGTGTGCCACCGTCGGTTTTCATCGACGATTCGGAGTCGACGACGCCGTCGCCACCGTCGTTTGTTGAGAAGGGTCCGTTCCCATCGTCGTTATTGGCGACGGCTGTGCGCGAGGATGCACGTTCAAAACAAACCTCTGTCGGTGAACCGGGGTCGATAATTTCCATCGCGTTATCAGCGCGAGACGAGGCGTTGTCGCGATCCTCGACGTCCTGCGATTATCTCGTTTCGGGGGGCAGTTTCGTCTGCCGTGGCCAGAGACAGGCGAAATTGTTGGCGAATAATTGATGACGTACACAAACAACGTGTATGCGATTTACTCGCGACGCACAGTGGGACGTTCGCGTGAAATAGTTGGCAAATGATAGTTTTTGTGATTTGATTTGGGATACCCGTTCATTTACGCGGTTTTTACATAGATTTGGACATTTGAGTGAATAACAGTAACTGTCATGTATTGGGTATAGGGTAAGGTTACGTGTGAAATGTTAGGTAATTGTTGATCGTGGGGTTTGACGTTTATTTGTCGACCCATAATGAGATTAATTATCTATTTTTGGGATAATCTATTAATTTACAGAGTTGTTGTATAGACTCGGACACTTTTAAGAAAATAATCTTACGTGTTAGGTAAATGATTGGGTATAGGATGAATTTGTATAAAATGTGAACACGTGTTTTGTAGAAAATTGTTGACGTCACCTTGATTCGTCATGAAAAGTCTGTAGATAGCTGAAAGTATAAAATGATTTTATTTTTTTAATTGCTTTTGGTAGTAGTTTGAAAAAATAGTAAACATTTAGCGGAAGTGGATATTAAGAACTAAAAAGAATATTAAAATCAATAACTGCAATTAATCAATGAATAATTTTGAAACATGTAACGAATTTTTTACTATACTAAAAATGTTACGACTCCAAGTGTGAAGTACATACTTGGCTCATTAGGAACCATTACTCAGTACTCGAACTCGAATCGAAAGCACTCCAAAATTTACGTAAATTACTACGACTCTAATCGTTTTTCAGAACCCTTCACTTTGCTTCTGGAACTATCAGCTTTAGATGTTTTGTAAATGAAACGAACTGAAATACAAATCGCACTTCTCAATTGCTCCAAAATTGTTGTATCAGGACACAAGTTTTAAAAATCGACTTTTGATCAATTGTTTAATGCAAATATCACACTGTGCCAATTTATTTACGATCTTGAATCAATTGAACATCTATCTTCTGATTTATTGATTGCCCAAAATGAGATATAGTATCTATGCTCCAAAGTTTTATTTATATACCATCGATAACAAGTAAAACGTTTACCTTTTGTGCGTTACTCGAGATTTGTATTTCGATAAAAATTTTGCCTGTCTCTGTCCCTGACCCACGAGTTACCGAGGGAAACAGACCAGATAATCGTAGCACCGTGTATATCATACGCGATATAGTTTTGAGACTCTTCGACCGCCGGCTCTGATGCTCTTATCGAACCGTTCATTTGGGGCATCGTTTTCGCGCTGAAATCGATCCCTACCCATTCCGTTAAAGTTGTATTAACCGAATGTATCCTGCGAGGGTTTCGAAGGTACGAACAAGTCATTTCACTTGTCGATGTTGTTGCAATGTTTAAATTTTTTTGGAGCAATTTTATTTTTCACACTTTTCAGAACACACGATAAACGCGTTTCTTCCAAGCTTCGTTTTAGAACCATATCTGTGAAATAGAATTTCACGATTTATGAGGGGAAAGCCACCTCGGAAGCTTGAAAATCATAGCTATATTCAACAATTTTGCTTTAAAGGAAATCGATCCAATGTGGCTACTTTATTTGAACAAATCTGAATGAAAATTATTTCCTTGGATTGCTATGGTTTTTAGTGAAATAATAAAAAAAGAAATGGTAGAAATCTACGAGAATGTGGACAAACTTTTCATTTAAGTAAAAATATGAATTTTCTAAAAACACCAACAGTCTACCTACAACAGAAAAGTATAACAAATAAAATTGTTCCTCGCATTCTGGCAATTACACCTCTATAACAAACATTTATTCAAGTTTTTTTTTTCTTTCTTTTTATTATAAAACCTACTTAAATGCTTGTTACGCGATGTGTATCATATTAAAAAAATTATTTCTTTGTAATTGTATCTCATTTCGATGCAATATATGTATGTTGTTTTGAATGGAGTATTTTTTTACGAGATATCTTTTAAGTAGCTGTATAACGTACGGTAGCGTGACAATCATGATTAGTTACTAATCGATGCGCATATACTATCAATCTTATGAGTCACATAACAATTCTAACTCGTGGAGGAATCAGAACGCGGTAAATAAATTGTCAATAAGTAGCATTGAAACACACCAACGCAATCACATATCGACAATACACGTGCGATATTACAATCTACTACAATCTATCATATTTACAATCTATACGCAGTTCTTTCTAATATGACCAGAGGGAAAAGAAACTTTCGCAACACAACTTTTCTATTATTAGTACCATTATCACTATTCTTGGCATTGCTCGAGAATTCGATACCATAAATTAAGCATCATTGGCAACGTTTCGTTATCTCGATTAGCCATTTGTTTCTATTGATTATTTGCCCATTCGTTATCGTCGCGTGTACGGTGACACTATCATACGGAACGATCCGCGAAATTATTGCACGGTAAAAGTTAAACACGGCAAAGCCGAGGAAGGTCATTGTCACGTCAACTACTTCCCGACCTTCGTTCCACGGTTTGCTAACACTGCATGCTGCTGAGAAACACATGCCACGGATGATGTAATAGTAGGCGCTGTGTGTTACATATGCATGTATGCCAATCATGGTTTTGCGGGATGCTCGTTCTGTGTACTTCAATCCGGACATCGAACTGCTTTTTTTCTTCCGTTTTCATTTATGAATGTCAAGCCCGCAACGGTATATTACTGTCCATTCAGGAGATTTTTTGTACCTTTGCCTGGTAAACACGGTTTATGTCGGTTCGCTTACGATTGCGTCGTGAAATGTTATATCAGGTTATTGCAGTATCGGTATACAAGAACAGGGGATTGTACTTGTATGCATACTGTGCTATCCTAGTAACATATTATTATTGCAGAATTCATTTTATAATAATATAATAAATAACTACATTATATTATACTGCTGTATCCTGCTACAATGTGACAAATTACAATACTGTTGTATCACATTACTGTAGCAGCCAACAATATACGTATATGTATATAATTCAACAGTCTCCGTAAATGCACAAGTTTCTTTACGATAGATAGCCAGTAACATGATCCGGGATCGGATATCTCGATGAGACAATGCTAATGCAACAATCAAACTTTTTTTTATTATTACCGTTTTTGCCGTAAAACTGTTACCATCGTATTCCTGACATTTTTCTGATTAAAATGAGACCAAACACGACGTAATTCGCAACGTATTTACTACATATTGTCTCACCGAAATAATCCCGGTGTTGGTCGCCATTTTCGCATGTCGGTCCGTCCTCTTCTTCATTCGCGGTCCTTTTCTACGCTCGAAGTTTGTTGGCAAAACATTAGAAGATACAGTGGCGACTGAAGGAGGTATGCAAAATCGGAGACCCAAAACATTGCACTCGAGGTGTTTATGTGTTTACACTTGACACGTGTCGAGCGTCGAACGTAGGAAAGGACAGATAGTGGAAAGAGAAAGAGATCCGAGAAAAAAAAAAACACTCGACAGAAGCGTATCAATCGGTGAGGATCATATTACACCGGTGGTCGGGGCTACTCGGGCGAAACTACGGGCAAAAGAAATAGGAATGGCCTGGAAGCAGGGGGTGGGTATCTGAGAGACATACAGACTGTCCCAGCCTAAGCGATACGGAGCTCTAACTCCAAAACTATCGGCCGAATGCAAAATTTCAAATATGGAAATTGCATGATAAAATGGGGCTCATGTTTCAGCGAGAAGGAATTTTTGTTAACTTTGTTATTTAACGTGATATGATGGTCAAGTCTCGTTCTTCAAATGGAACTATATATTTTTTTTATACCATGCGATAGTACTTTTCGAGACGAATTCATTAAGCTTTAACGTATTTATCCGATTTTTATTAGTTTTCAAGCTATAACGCTTCAAAGTTTGCTAATTTTCAAAGGGAAAACTCGGTTCGGCCCCGGGCGGTCCCATTGATGCAGCAAGCACCATGCGGTTCTTGAAATCGATACGGTGGGTCTCGTTTGTGATTCTTTAACAAAAATTCCTTCGCGCTGAAACATGAGCCCCATTTTACCATGCAATTTTCATATTTGAAATTTTGCATTCGGCTGATAGCTTTGGAGTTAGTGCTCTGTATCACTTTGGCTGGGACACCCTGTGTAATTATAGCAATATGTTATTTGAGAGGTATACTAGTTGTAGCACTACGGTAGGCCGCTATTAGAGAAGTACACTAGGTATAACATTACCGACTACTAAATATATGCTATTAGTACTCCTGTAATGTTATACCTAGTGTACCTCTCCAGCAAATAACTATACTTTAATTACAATTCAATAGTTCGTCGGCGTAAAATTGACCTTTCAAAGATATATCACAATAC